GCTGCTCGGCTGACCTGCCGCGCGCCCGGGCGGGGAGCTGTGCCGTCCCTCCCGCTGAACATCGCCCTCTGCCTCCTCCCAGGGCGCACAGCACCACTTCCCTCACCTCCCGAAAGGCTCGCGCGAACCAACCCACGTCGCTGGGACGAGACCCGGCGCCACATCAACATCCACGGGCCAGGGGATGGTTTTTCTCAGCCGACACGCAGAGCTGAGGCGCAGAGACGACGGCAAGCAGAGGAGCTCAGCTGGGAAGCCACGCACCAGGCCGCTGTGCCCCGTGAGCGGCCAACCGGCCGCGGACTGGACAAGCCCGTGTTGACGCAGCGCTGACCTGTGCTGCGAACGGCAGAGGCCGGGAGTCTCCATCCCTGCGGACAGGGTGCAGACGCTGGCCACGCCGCAGAGACTGGCCGGCAACGAGAGCACAGTCAGCGACTACAGATTAGGGCACAAACACATGATAGCCCAGATAAATAAATACTTGCACCAATGCTGTCAATACAACCACTTTCTATGACTCCGGCCTTGAAAACTGAACAGGAAGAAAAGACGGAAAAACTTAAATTCTTATCTGGAAATAAGGCAAACCTAAAAGTAAAGTACAGTGGAAAGCGTTGTGTGCATTCAGACACGTTGCTTCTCTGTTGCAATATCAAACAGAATCTGAGACATCCAGGACTACCACACTTTTTACTGATGTATTTACAAGAATCAGTTAGCCAAACATGGACTTTCATGCAGGGGTTGTTGTGGTGTTGGGAGAGAGCGTGAGTGAGAGCAGTGGTTCTTTAAACAGAATTTACTTGTGTGCTGAAAGGAGTTACAGGCACTGATGGAGATACATGCAAATAAAACCCAGAAGTGTTCCCGTGTCCAACAGAGGCACAAGATTCACTTAGATCACTATGCTGGCAGATAATCTTAAAATGTCTTAAGGCAATACCTTCTACAACTATTTAGATGAAGCTGGATAAGAAGGGTAATAAATATCAACCTAATAAATACTTCTGGGATTCTAATCTTCCCTGGTTTTGCATCCCCCAGTTTAAGAGTCTGAAATAAATGTCAAATCAAAGAGTTCCAAAAGAAAAACATTTTTGTAAGACCAAGATCCGTAATAACAAGCTCCCTCCAAGACTGCCATCTGTTTTCAGTCACTTTAGTGTGCCTGTGCTATCACTGTCACTACAACACTGTAAGGCTCTGCCAAGTATCTGCTGCCTCAAGTTGAATAACCTGATTCTCTGTGCGTTTCTACTGGAAGTGAACGAGCATCATAATAACTAGAGAAGAAATCAAACATTGGAAAACACTTAGACAGGTAAAGCAATGTGGCAGTAAAAGCTCTTACGGGATTGTCTGGAGCTGGATACTTACAGTCAACATGGCAAACATTAGCTGGCAGACGTTGAAAGCGTGCCTCCAGTTGTGATACAGAACCATTCGGTAATTCTTCCTAACCGTCAAAAGCCACCTACACAGCGTCTGAAACGAAAAGTACAAATTGTATCTGGGCTACTAAACGTGTACAAATGGACAGCGCAGTGCCAAGACAAAGGCAGCAGATATCTCTGCAGCGCAGATGGTTACCTCGTAGTCAATTTTAAATTTCTGAACCATTCCAAGTTCCATGAACATCCTCAGGGCTGCAGTAATCATGGCATCCACATCAAGCGAGAAGTCATCAAAATGGATATCATCAATGCCAAGCTCTGACACCAGAGGGATGTTTGCTGCCTGAAAATGCCAAAGGGAAAGGGCAACTTCTCATTCAAAACTTGGATTTTTTTTTTTCCCCCTGCGTTGCTCTCACAAGAAACCATCCATACATCAGTTCTGACCTGCCAATACATCTCCTGCTCGATTGCAATGCTGAGCAATGAAAGTCTTCATCTGAGAGGTGCAAACATGTCAAGCTAACAAAGCAGGGAAACAGTGGGAAGGAGAGGAACCTGGTCCGAGTAGGAAATAGGCTCACCATCCCAACTGGAGCCCGTATACAGCCTGCGCGAGTTGACCACTTTACAGCTACTGCAGTAACATAATATATTCCAATGCAAATTACAATGCTGTAATGCAAGAAACATCTGGACAGCCAGCAGCTGTGAATTTTAATTGCTACCATTCAGAAATGCAAAGTAAATATACTGCTCTGCAGAATGTCTTCACCCAAACGTCCTCACATTTGTAAGCATGCAAGTACCCTTTGCTTTATTGAGATACTTTCATAGAACCAAAAATGAGCAACACAAGAAATGTCTAGCAGAAGGACTTTTCAAGGTAAAATAAAAATAATTTTCAATGCACTGATTATGTAGTAAGTCACTAAACAACAGCAACAGCCTCACGTTTTGCTTTGTCCACATAACAAAGGGGCTGTTTTCTTCTGTTTGCAAGAGAGGAACGAGATTTTCCTGCACACACAAACGTACAGGTAAGCATGCAGGACCAGCTAACGCGTACAGTTGGGCACACAGATGTGCTGTGGTTGGCCCAGTGGCAGCACCTGCAGGAGCCGGGCAGAGGTGCTGACAACCCTCACGGGCTTGTTTGCCCTTCCTTGTGCCTCCTCAGACCCGCCACTCATCTCCCTAGAGAGGGCAGGGGGAGGGGGCGACATTTGCTGAAGGAGCAGCTGTTCCCTGCCTCCCACAGTGGGAAGATGATGGGTCAGGCAGAAACCTGAAGAAGGGGCTGGATCCAGCCCACGAGCCATGAGCAGGACCATGCTGAATTAGTGCAAATCGCACGGACCCAGCTGGCGTGGCACATCCAGCGACTCACCTGCAGAAGATGCCCATTTGCTCATGCAACTCTAAGTTCACCTTCACAGTTACAGCTTCTACGTGACTACCTTATGGTCTCCTTCTCGAAAACTTGTGTTCTGAAATGCTGCACTCTAACTACCACGAGTAATCGACACGTAAAAGCTTTTTCTAGCCAAAGGGAAAGTGCCACTCTACAATTACTTTATGCAGGGATTAAGCTGGTTTAGCTATTCCACGTAACAGAAGATGGTGTAAACCTGCCATAAAATAGTATCAACGCTGCAGCGTTAATTTCTTTGGTAGCGAGAAGAAAATCCTTTTCAGTTCAGCACCCAGTAAAGCATGACAATGCTACAAAGTCATGGCGTCATGCCAGCGAGGGTCACTGACACAGAAAACACAACAAGCCCACAGAGTGAAGTGCCATCCCGGGACACAGCTGAAGAGCCTCGGGAGCACACAGGCAGAGGTGTGGGCTCTGTTAACTGCATACTTCCTTTGTCCATGAGCGTACTTAGGTTGAACCAATTCAGCATCTTTTTTTGAATAACTATTGAAACATTGGAAATGCTTCTAGATGATGCCCCACCCGAGTTAATCCTTAACACCCTTTACTGTCTGGCTGAAAAGCCACGTATTTACTGACAGTCAGGTGTGACCCAGGCATGCTGGCCCAGAGACTCTGCTCTCCAGACCTTCCGTGGTCTTACAAGAATGGTGACTTTTTATCATTCAGTTATTCTTCAGAGCTCTGGGGGACACTCAAGATGCATGCAAATATTTATTCTATGAATACACTCCTTGCATAGTAAGTGCATGATAACATGTCTCTGAGGGAAGAGGCGCATTTGCCCATCTTGCTCATCTGTTCCTTCGGGAGAAGTTTAAATAGCAAAGATGCTGAAGCAGAAGCACTTGATTGTGAGCAGACCTGCTTGAAATCGTTCTGTCGAAACTCCCTTTCCAAGCCCACCGCTGCATTTTCATTAACTCTGAAGTGGGCTCTGACTAAAATTTTCATGGTTTTTTATCCCCTTAAAGGAAAATTTATATTTTCCTTGCTATGTCTTACTGGAAACAAACACTTTCACTGGTCCATTACAATTCAAGGGAGACCACTTGAAGCAATTGCTCAGCTACAACTGCTTTCCCCTTTATCAAATAGTGAAGAAACAACAATATATTCCAAACGTATTACAAACTGAATAACAGGATATTAACAAAGCAAATCAAAACCTATTTCTTCCCATGTCCGTCTGAAACTTCTGAGTATTTATGAGGTTTTACATTCCTAAATTTAACAGAAGTGCCATAATCCAAAATAACTGCTGAATTAACAGCCAGGAGATAACATTTGTATAAAAGAACCATTTGCTTTACAACAGCAATAAAGAAACAACAGAATTATGAGTGTTGAGACTAATTTGAATAATGTTAAAAAAATGATATGTTGTGGGGCTGCTGCAGCAATATTCTGGCTGCACCTGCCGTTGCCTCTCCTCAGCTTCTTTTACTGGAAATGTAGCAGTCCAGGGTTTATAGAAGAAGAGTAATTAAAGTTCCTCTTTTTTTTAATTACAAAGATATAAAAAATATTCATAATACAGAATATTAAAACAGATCCATATTCCTGAAATTTTGCTGCACTGCAGGACAAATTCCAGTGGATTTCTTAAAATAAACAGCAATAACAACACTCTTCCAGGAAAAGGGAGAGAATGAAAGTACCATGACAATAGGAGGAAGGGGCAGGCAATTAAAATTCAGGTTACAGTAAAATTATTTTTTAAAGCACCCCAGTGATTAGAATCACTTAGAAGGCTTGCTTCCTTTTGAATGCTTTGAAGTTCAATTTCCTCTTTCTAAAAACAATTAAGAACATTATACCCCAAAGTCTTTTTACCTTGTGGAACAAGCCATTTCAACGCTCTTTATCCTCAAGCAAAATTCACGCAACTCCCCTGTGAGCTGATGGTAAATTACAGCCAGACACGCGTCCTCTGGTCGCATCTCCACAGCCCTTGGTACCAAAGCAAAAACCCGTCTTGAAAGGAACCATGAAAACAAGCTGAGCTTAACCCATGGAAGGCAACTGGTCTTGCCAAATAAAGTACAAACTCAGCAGTTACCAGACCGGGAAACCATCACCACGTCTGGTGCAGCTTGAGAAAGGGGATGTCATGCCCCCGAATGGGAGCATAAAGACAAGGTCTGTGGCTACCCCATACTCAGATGTGCATGGTGTGGGATGGGTACAGGAAGGAGGAAAAGCACTTCTGTACTCAAGTCAGCATTGGAGACAGATTCTCCTCTCCTCACTGCTCTTTGCTAAACTGCAGTGTAAACTGCTTTGCAGCCTGCCTGGCATAGGAGAACAGCCAGGAGATGAGCGACTGGCTGAGCCTTACCCTGCCTCGACCGTTGCCAAAGGGCCACATGTCATTAATGGCCATCATACCTCCAAATACACGGAACACCAAAGTGGCTTCTACCAACAATAAAGTCCCAATTCTGGCCACTATAAACCACAGCCCATGGGAACAGAAAAATAATGCCTCAGTATTAATAAATCTTTGGGCTGCTGTGGATGAACAAAACCTAAGAAGGAAATCCTTAGGAAACTAAGGAGTCGAAGTTTTAGGGAAACTGTGAAAGGCTAAATACTTGAAATAAAAGTGACTCTGATGCTTAACGCCTTCGCACTCCTAAAAGCCCACTGTCTCCGTTTCAGAAGTAGGTATAAAACATGCTGTATAAAACGGTTTCTTTACTCTGTCAGCATGCAGCTAGGTCAGAATAAAGAGAAGTATTCATTCACGCTCATTTTTTCTTCTGGGCAGTATGCGTTCATACGTAAATGTATGACAGAAAAATGCATTATAACATGCACACACACAGAGCATTTCACAACATTCTCACTGCAAGGGCTGAACAAAGCAATCACAGTCAGTCAACACAAGCGAAAGGGGAGACTTCTGCTGCTCTTACTGAACATATTTCCTGAATGAGAGCTAGGTTTTACGTTCAGCTTGGTTAGTGGCACTGCAGACTGCTTTCCTTTTAATCCCACTTTCAGTTTCTGTCGTGTACCGCATTAGTACTGTCATAATACTGCTATTCAGAAAATGTATGCAAAGTATACCATTAAATGCTCAACTACAAATTACATCAGTTTATAGTTACAAATAGTACAAGAATGATCCCTTGAAATGGGCAAAAGGGGGCAAGCTTCCCGTCCTGAATCCCTTGTAGGTGTGAGAGCTGCTACCAGCTCGTGATAGGGGTCTTGCTATTTTAGGATCTGGAAACACATTACCAGTCCTTCCAAACAGGGAAGGAACTTTATGGATTATCCCAACGATCCACACAGTGTTACAAACCGAATGGCCTGTGTGAGCTGGAAGCCCAGTCTTCAGAATTTGAAAGCTACACTGAGCTAAAGTCTTTGTGTTCCAGGTAGTGAGATGTGCTGCCAGTGGAGACCTGCAGACAGGTCACATGGTGTCAGCATGAAAAATGGCCAGAGGGAGAGTTTTCCCTGTGTGGGGAAAAACTGTATCATGTCAGGAACAAATACAAAATAGCAGTTTGGATATTGAATGATCTCCTACAGCAGAATTTGGTTATTGGGCAGTCTGGGTCAGTGGCGGAGAGCGGGCAGTTTCAAGGTGGTGACTACTTTTTGTCTCATCTTGCAATAATCCCTTTACTCCATCCTTATTTCCTGCAAGTTGGCACGCACTGACAGGCAGCTTAAGGAGTTTCTTAAATGGAAGATACCTACAGCTCAAGGGTCTGATTGTAATACTTTCATTCAGCATCACGTTAGATGAGAAAGTTTTTGATCCCATTTGATACTAACAGCACAGGACAAAAATATCATTCCACATACTGAGGGGAAGGCTTACTAAATGATTTAGCAATATCTCTTCTAATAGTGTATTCTGCATGATCTTATATACCCGTATT